TGGAAGCCAAAATGGGGCATGGGGGTGCTGCATAATGCCTCCCCACTGTGCCCCATTTTGGGCCTGGAAAGCTTCTGCCCCAACCTGGAAACCAAAATGGGGCGCAAGGGGGCGCATGCACAGTGGCACTCGCATTGTATTTTGGGGATTGGGCCATTCGTGTGTGCACACCTACGGCACTCCGCACCAAAAAGGTTAACCATCACTGGTCCAGGGTGCCCTGTTTGAGCAGGGGGTTGGACTAGAGGACCGCCAAGGTCCCTTCCAACTCTGTTGTTTTGTTCTGTCCTGTAAACAGTGGCAAAAAGAGAAGAAATACACATTGCAATAGATTGCCACAATTTAACCAGGGAGTAACTTGGCAAAGCTGGGGGGGGGAGCAGCGGAGAGATTCAGAGCATTGTTGCTCGCAAAAATACATTTTTTAAATTAAATACTGGACATTTGTAACTGATAAGCAGCATCTTTGGCTGGAGGCTAATGCTGCTGAGTGATGTTAATTTGGGAATTTATGTTCGGAGTTTTGCAGAGCGATGGGACCGTTGCTGTGAGAAAGGATCAAAGCAGCTTAGCATTGGCTACAGCCCAGCTCTGTTGTCTGTGCGACGTCTCCCTTGCTTGCATATAACAGTTTGCTAGGGGAAGATTTAATTAACTGAGCTTTGGGAACCGGTGAATCTTATTGTTAAGAAATATGCCTTTTCAGAGAAAATAAAGGCATTTTCATTTAATGGAAACAAAGAGGAGTGTTATCAGAACATTACTTAATTGTCAGGCAACCTAAAGAGCTTTGCTGCTGGCATAATTTATGAACTCCCATGTATCAGTGCTCCATGAGACCAGCTACGGCTGGAGTTTTCATCCTCCACTGAAGGTGGAACAAAAATTGCACCGAGAAAAGGCCAGGAATTGTCATTGTAAATCCCATAAAAACTCAGATTAAAATGTTTGTCACTGCTATTTTCATTTAAAGAGTGCTTACTTTGGAGCAGGAACAGAATTATTGGTCCCACGCAATGTGAGATGGGTCCAAATCTGGAGCTAAATCTGGGAGGTGGAATTCTCAGACAGGATTTTTCTAGGATGCCCCTTCTCTGAATTTGGGAGCCACCAAGTGGGAGGGGGTCTAATTTGAGACCCTCCCTGGAGTCTGGGCTCTGCTTCTGAGTGCTACTGCCACCATAGCAGGAATGGGGAACTGTGGCCCTTTTATGAGTTGTGGACTTCAACTCCCAGAATTCCTGAGCCAGCATGGAATTCAGCACTGAGGATTTCTGGGAGTTGAAGTCCACAACTCATAAAACGGTCATATCCACCTCTGATACAGAACAAAGGTGCTTGTGAATTTCTGGCCTCTTCTGCAGTGAGAATCACTGCTCACATCCCTCTGCAGTTTTAATCTAATGTGGTGGCAAAGCCTCCTCTGGGCCCACCCCCTGTGTATCTTTCCATGCCAACAATGTTTGAAGTGTGGGTGGGTGGATGGAGGTAGGTGGATGGGTGGTTCAAAGATGGAATCCTGCTCTCTATTGTTCAAATTCTCCTCTTTTTGTTTGAGCAGAATAACAGAGTTGGAAGGGATCTTCGAGGTCTTCCAATCCAACCCCCTGCCAAAGCAGGAGACCCTATATCCGTGATGGTGAACCTATGGCATGTNTATCTATCTATCTATCTATCTATCTATCTATCTATCTATCTATCTATCTATCTATCTATCTATCTATCTATCTAATCATTAATTGCTTCTGGTGTGTGTGGCTCTGGTGAAATCACCCCAGGTTCTTTAAAACTGAATGTAATTAATTCATCTGTTAAGAACAATATAGCAAGGAATAGAAAGGCCCACTTGTGTAGTGTAATATCAATTGTATGACTTTCAGAGATCCTGAACTATTTTCCACATCCAAAATGTGTGAGATCTATGATGGTCTTTATGAGACAATCAAAACTTGATAAAAGAAACCGAACATTTCAATAAATAAAACAACATAATAATAAAATAAATTTATTTACATTGTTTTATTACAAATATCTGCTCTCTCATCCTTGCTTCTCCAATATTTTCCCCACTGTATTTTTAAGGGTCCATAATGGTGCTTGAATTTTTGTCAGGCTTTTCCTCCTCCAAGATAGCAGCACCCAGAGTTTGTAAGTCATCCAACACAGCAAATAGGGATTCTGTGAAAAGAAAATGTTTTTAAGGATATGATGTCATAGAGGCAGGAAGTATTCAACAAAATCCTGGACTGAACATCCTTAAGCCAGAAGAAAAAGTAACACTAAAATTTAGAAAAGATTCTGAAGATTTACAAATAAGCTATCAATAAGAATTGCAAAGGATTACGAGAAGTAAAATATGACACTTATGTTAACTGGCAATACCACAGGAAAAAAATAGAACTGTTGGAAGAATGGATTTTGAAGTTGACTGAATTAGCAGAGATGGTGAAAGTAACTGCTTTGATTAGGATATTGGACTAACTTTATAAGAGACTGGAAACTGGTCTTTCTACACGCTAAATATAATAACAGATGGTTTAACAAAGGAATTTGAAGATTAGTGTAATGCTTTTCTTCATATATTGCTGCTTCTTTTCTTTCAGCAACCAGCCAGGGTGGATCCTACATGTTAAATGTATTTATCACTTTTTCCTTTTTTTGTACACTATTTTTTCTTTGTTGTTCTTGATAGGATTGTATGTATGCTTTTGTTTTCTTTCATTTTGCTTGTTTTACTCTTTTACGTTTTCTTTTTTTAATGATAAAACAATAAATAATCTTTTAAAAAAGGGAAAAATAGAATTTCTGGAGGACAAATCTATACCTTTAGATAGAGGACTAGTTCCTGTCTTTCCAATTGACTTAGCTGGGACTGCTGACTGCCGATTCTTTCGATACTGGGCTAATAGCCCTTCTTGCCTCAAGGTGGCCTGTAAGAGGAAGGAAGTAATCTTAATGAAAAGCCAGCAATGGGGTAAACAATTCCCCCTTACTGCTTGAACATACCATTAACACGTTTTTGTCCCTCTCAAGCTCTTTCAGACGTCCTTCCAGACGGGCCATTTCCTGTTGTGTTGCAGACTCCTGAATTGTTGCCAGTTCCTCACTCCTTGCTTTGTCTCTGGCTGCCTGCCGCTCAGCTTGCCGTAGGGCAACCACTAAGGATGTAAGCACATTTAAAGACTTCATGTTGCTGAGCGTGAGGAACACAAGCCTCTTGCCACCATATACCTGACTGCCCTAAGGTCAAGTTAACGATGCAAGCCATCTACTGTGAATGGCAGCATCTCTCTGGAAGTTCAGATAAAGGTCATTCCAGGCTAAGCATAAGAGTTCTGGGTAGAATGGGTTTCCCCCCTGAATTGCAATCTGTCGTCCAGTCACTTGATAGTGAGACAAGTAGCATGTAAATTTAATAAATAAATACTTTTTTTTAAGCAAGGACCCGAGTAGTCCATTTTGTAACCTTAACTGTAGCTCGGCCTTGTGTAAAAATCTTCTGTTATCCCTTTACCACAAAAGACTTTTTAAAATATTTCTGCCACAGATAAAACATCTTCAGCCTTCTTCCGCTGACAACAGTGTGACAACTCTTACCTGCTTTGGCGTGTTCTCTCCGTGCTGTATTAAGTGCTTTTTCCATTTCTGAGAGATCCTTCCGCAGTTGCGTTTCAACTTCTGTTACCTTTTCCTGCAGGGCTGAGGAAAAATATGGCATTGACCTTAAATAAATGCTTCTCACTACTGTGTGTAACTTCTGTTTTTCTAAGCTTTTTTTTAATTTTTAATTTTAAACACATAAACACATCAACAAAAACAAACATCACTTAAAACAACACAGGAGCTAAAGGTTTCGTCATACAGCAGTTCCATATCAGTGTATCTTTACAATTAGTATCTTCCCTCCTATATGTTTATCTCTTACATTCGTGGTCCCCTTAGTCATTACTCATTTTTATGTACAATTCTGTACTTATTTATACTTAGCTGTTTATATCACAATATTGTCTTTACTATCATTTAGTCTGTACATTAGATTATCATTATATCTTAACATATCTTTACTATCTCCTGTCTTATCACTATGTCCTAATGTTCTATACTACATCGTTATTTTACATTTCCCTGTTTCTTATTTCTGTCATTTAACCATTTATACCATTTTTTCCAAATTAAATAGTATTCTGATTCCTCCTTCCCTTGTATTTCCTTCATAAATTTGTCCTTCTCCATGCATTCTTATCACCTCCAATTTTGGGTATACGTTATTCTGGCTGCAGTTATAATATGTAGGATTTGATATAGTGTTTCTCTGTTGTGCTTTTTTGTGGTTATACCTAATAAAAACCTTCCAGTGTATATGACCCCCGTTATTTCTTCAAATCACTTTTTAATTTTGGTCCAGTATTTTTTCGCCATCTCACATGTCCACCATGTATGGCATTAAAGCCCATATAATTTTTTACACTTCCAACACATCGGTGATATGTTTGGGAACATCTTTGCGAGCCTCGCAGGAGGTAAATGCCATCTATAAAACATCTTGTACTGGTTTTCCTTGTATGGCGCCAACATGGTCAGTTTCAAATTTATTTCCCAAAGTTTTTCCCATTTTTCCAACTCTATTTTATACCCAAAGCTTTTTGCCCACCTTATCATTGTATCTTTGATGACTTCGTCCTCCATTTTATATTTCAGCAAGAATTTGTATATTTTCCTAATCAGTTCTCTGTGCTTTGTAGTATTTTATTCAAGTTGCTCCAATTGAAATTCATATATCGCTGTTACATCTGGACTGGAGTTGTATATATGTGAGCCAATCAATGTTTACTCCCTGGTCTTTAAATTCTTGTATGGTTTTTAAATTCCCCTGATCTTTTATTAAATCTTTATATCTCAGTAGTTTATCTATATCTATAAAATTTGGGTGTTTCGATGCTTCTATTGTGGATAGCCAATTTGATATTTTAGTATAATGGGTTTTCTTTATTTTTTGCCAAATTTGTAGCAACGCAGTCCTGATTAGATGCCTTTGAAAATATTTTTGTGATGTTTTTTTCATCCCAAACGAAATACATGCCTTCCTACTTGAAGATCGTGTCCTTCTAAAGTCAACATTTTCTTATTTTTTAACTCTATCCATTCCTTGGCCCATGTTAATGCTGCTGCCTGGTAATACAGTTCCCAGTCTGGGATTGCTAAGCCTCCTTTTTCTTTACTGTCGTTTTTCTAAGCTTAATATCCTGGATTCCATGTGATTTCTGCTACTGGTTAATGCTCCTTTCTCATTTGACCATTGCCACCGCCAACTCTCCATGCTAAAATGCAACAACCGAATTGAAACAGAGCCCTTTTCATTATGCATAATTGCTCATCAGGTTCATTAATTATACCCACCCCATCCATCATTCGTAGATCATAAGCCTCCAAACTCGATTAAATAATTTTTAGATTTTTAACTAGGAAGATTTGGGAGATTTTGTATATACCCCATGAGGATTCCAGCAATGAGTGGCCCATCTAGTATTCAACTGTTAAAGCACCCATTATGTGAATATATCGATAGCCATTTTGTTGTTATATCATTGATGATAATATTTGAGAATATTACTGTATTACTGGGAAATTGGAATGAAATGACTTTGGAAGTTCTACAATCTGATCACATTCTGTCGGCCTGAAAAATTTACTTTACCGTCTCAGAAGGAATAATAGCAGGGAAAAAACCCTAAGTGTTCATTAAGGGGGATATTAAATAGATGGGAACTTTTTTTAAAAAAAACCTTCCTATCTCAGGTGCATCTTCAAACCAGCTTTTCTCATTAAGCTAAAAAAAACAAAACACCCACAATTATTGTTCACACTCAGGAAAGAATGGGCTGATCCAATATTTTAGAAAGGACTAAGTCTCTGATACATCACAGAAAATTCAGTTTACAGATAATATACCTGAGATATAAGGCAAATCTTAACACAGAGCTGTAGCTTTCTATGTGTTTTTGGTGTTACAATAGGATTCCTGCCACCACAGGAATTTCTAATTATTTCTACTCATCATAATAGAGAAAAAATGAACCTTCTAATGAAAGAGCTTATTTTATTTATCTCCAGAAATAAATTCTTCCCACCTCTGAAGAACTTAACGTACCTCTCTCATACTCTCCTCTTAATTGTCCCACCTCCTGTCGCAAACTATCTGCAGCTCCGGCATTCCTCTGGAGCTCACGGTTGGTTGTTTCCAGTTGCTTTTCTGTAGCCTCCAACTGTTGCCTCAGTTCCCGTTCTACCACTGTCTTTGCCTCTAGTGTCTCCTCCAGGCTCTGCAATGTTCCCCTCATTTTGCTCAGATCAGTCTCCACTGTTTGGGAGAAGAGAGAAAATAAATGGTTAAATTGAGGAGACATCAGACCAATATTTCTATAGATCCCTTCCCCAGAACTTGGAAAAAAGCTGCTCAATTCAGCGTTAAAACAGGGAAGCATCAGTGAATGAAAAAGGCCTCCTTCCCACATTATTTCAGATTCTAGCTGTGGACACAGATTAATTTTCTTCCTCGTGAAGGATTTTCTGTATCTCTGGGCGAAGGTGAGGCTAAAACTTGGCCATTTTCTAAAATTTTGGCCTGCACCAACTGTCTGAAATATGACAGTAGCAAAATCACCTCTCTCTCTTGCTTCAGCCACCTTCTTCTCTATCAGTTGAGCCCCATGTTTAAGCTCTGCAGAGAGTCGGTCTCGTTCTTCATGCAACATGTGTAACTCAGCTTGTAGATCTTCATACGATGGCTGAATCCTGGAAAGAAAGGGCAAGCAGAAGCCATAACTGCTTCTGAATCATAGCTGGGGCTTTCTCTTTTCACCTTGTCCACTAACAAAGTATATATTGTGACTTAACTGCACAGACGCTTAGAAGTTCTGATTTCTAGTTCTACCTCCAAATACAGGTAATCCTCAACTTACAACAGTTCATTTAATGACTGTTCGGAGTTACAACCCCACTGTAAAAAAAGTCACTTTTGACTGTTTTCCTCACGACTGTTACAGCATTCCCATGGTCACGTGATCAAAATTCAGAGGCTTGTCAACTGACTCATACTTATCATGGTTGCAGTGTCCTGGGGCCATGTGATCTCCTTTTAAGGCCTTCTGACAAGCAAAAACAACGGGCAAGACAGATTCACTTCACAACCGTGTGACTAACTTTAACAATGATTCACTTAACAACTGTGGCAAGAAGGGTCATAAAATGGGGCGAAGCTCACTTAACAAATGTCTCACTTAGCAACAGAAATGTTGAGCTCCATTGTGGTCGTAACTGGAGGGCTACCTGCACTCAAAATATCTGAGGCATTCATTCCAGTTTTTTTCTCTGCGATATAATTCACCATATATGGATCACAGATGGGGTTTTGAGATTTCTCCATGTTTGGGTCTTACTTAATCTGTAAATGGATCTGGATGAAAACTCAATAGATGGGGGCTTTTAGCCACTTTTTTGCATACGAGAGGGAAGGTATGGGGAAATTTTAAAAGTTACAAAATGTCACCCCATTCTAGAACTGTATGAGGGCACAAATGGGTGCTGGGGCCCATAGGCAGTTTAACACAAGGATGGGCTATCTGCAGAAAAGTATAGCACTTGGTTGGAACTCAAAGCATTTTAGCCATATATGTGCTGAATAATCATAGGGAGTAATTTATCAGCCTCAAGATCCATACATAATACCCCAGTCAGAATAATCTGTAATATGTAAATAAGTGGAGAAATTAATTGGCACTGGGCTTTCAAATAAACATACAGAATTATCAAGAACTTAACTAACCTGCCTTTTACATTTATGGAAGCTTGTATTTGAACTTACTCTTGGTTTGTCCCTGCAACGTGTTTTTCTTCTTGCTGTAGTTTTGCCAGTGCTATTTTCCGACATACCAGCCCTAGAACACAAAATAGAAACGGAACTGAAAAAATAAACTCCTAAACTGAGATGTATGTAAGTGTATAATTGCAGCGTGGGAAGGAGCGTATCGTATGAAATATAAAGGCTATTTGAATGAATGCAGAAATACCAGAGTTCAGGAAGCCATCTCGTACAGAACTATATTAATGAAACAAAATTATCCCTGACTCCTGAATACACAAAAGTCTGAAAGACTTATTTTTACTTGAAGATGAAAAGGAACAACAGTGTGTGATCACTTCAATGACAATAAGCCCAATCCTCCACAAAACAAATACCACAGATAAGGGGGCAACATTTATTTATTTAGCATATGGCAATGATGGTGAACCTTTTTCACCTCAGGTGCCAAAAGGCTATTGCGCAGACTCACATCCCCTCCATAATTTAATACCCTCCCCTGATGCCCACGCATGTGCACACGGCTTTCTTGAAGTCTGGGAAGGATGAAAAAAAGCCCCCCTCCCCCCCCCCCCGGAGACCAGAAACGGCCCATTTTCCGACTTCAGACTAGGTCCGGTTTTTACCCTCCCCAGGCTCCAGAAGTTTTCTAGGAGCCTGGGGAGGGCGAAAACGGCCTCCTCTGCCACCTAGAGGCCCTCCGGAGGCCAAAAACAGCCCGTTTTTCAATTTCTGGGTTGTCTGTTGGGCCGTTTTTCTCCCTCTGGAGGCTTTAGGAGGCTTCCCTGAAGCCTCTGGAGGGCAAAAAATGGCCCAATGCACAAACTGCAAGTTCAGGAACTAACTTCCGGGTTGCCCATTGGGCCGTTTTTCTCCTTCTGGAGGCTTCAGGAGGCTTCCCTGAAGCCTCCGAAGGGCAGAAAAATTGTCAAACATGCAAAACGGAAGTTTGGTAACGAATTGTTTCCTGCAAATGCCCCCTCCCCGTTCGCTCCTCTTTTGTTTCCTATGGGAGGGGCCAATCACCTCCAAAATGTGGCTTTACTCTTAAGTCGACCCTGCTTTCTTAGTTGTTCTTGTCTTCTGGCAGCTCTGCACATGCACACACTAGCAACAGGCTCCAGCTGTTCTTCTGCCTCACTGCTGTCTAACTGCCTTTCTACTTCCAACACAGAGCCCTTGTCTAAATTTTCCACAACCCCCAGGACTGGCCCATGTTCCTCCCGACTTCCTCACTGTCCGACTCTGCTGCCAGCTTCACAACACTTACAAACAGCTCCTGGCCAGAGGTTGGGGGCCCCTTGTCTAGGCCATCTAACTACTGCAAAAAAAAAAAAAAAAAACCAACCTCCAAAAAAACAAGCCCCCCAAAATAAGCACTATAAGTTGATCACAGTAATCAAGTTTTGTTTCAAGTTATCCATCCATCCATCCATCCATCCTCCCATCTCACCAAAGGCAAGTCTGGTATTAGGATAAGAAGTGGTAGGCAAGCAGCTGTAATGGTTTTAGAGAAGGGAAAGATTTCTGGCATACCACAAGTTCATCATCTCTTTAATATCAGTTTCATATCATGGCTTCCACAAACTATAGCTTAATGAAGAAGGTAATATTTCTATTTGCATTTATTTCACACCATTGTTAAGGTGTAGTCCACCAAACCTATTCTAGAGATCTTTAACTTACACAATGCACCATAACTATTTCTTACTTTTGTCCCTGTTTGTTTTTTTAAATTTCATTATCTTATTTTTTTTCTTCCTTGTTGATGTTCTTTTAGAACACATCACAAATGTTTTAAAAAAATTTTTTTACAATTTACAAGTACTATATTATTACTACCGACCGTAGTTACATTGCAGCAGGATACACATATATTTATACATATTTAATTGTGCAAGTCAAACTTGACTTTGGGTAATTGCAAGGATAAGCCCATGCAATATTCTAGGCTACATTTTTGGAAGAGCTTTACCACTGCCTCCTTCCTACGTGCTAAGAGGAAATGAGTGATCCAAAATAACCAATAAAGGTAAGACTAGAACTCAGGTTTCTCTGCTCTTTAATGACTTTACCAGACCAGACAGCAAAAATAAATATTTAATATTAAGATTGTCTATATATACTGGAATCCAAATTAATATTTTTGACTCAGCACAGTAAAATGAATGAGAGCCCACCAACGTACTTGCTAATTGGACCCGCTGTTTAAATATCCATGCTTACGATGCTTTTTTATAATACTCCACTGAAATCAGCTTTAAAGTTTTATCTCATGCCTTGAACTCCGTTGTGAGAGAAGACGCTCTGAACTTCTCTGTGACACATGTTGCAATACTTGGTATTATTGTAACAAAACAAAGCCCAAAGGGAATTTCCTTTATTTGAATTAGTATTTGTATTGCAATAAGCCAAGAGAAATATTTAGAATTTCCATCTCAGTGCCTTCAACAGACAATAGCGGCAAATTTCTAAAAATAACACCCACCAGAAGAGCAGGAAGCTTACTTGAAAACAGTAATTCAAAACAAACGTTTTGTAAAACCACAGCTGAATTGCTTTTTCTTGTTGTATGGGAAGTAACATACAGGTAGTTCTCGGCTTTCAACAGTTCATTTAGTGGCTGTTCAAGGTTACAGGGACACTGGGGGAAAAAAAGGGACATGACCATTTTTCACACTCACAATCGTAGCATCCCCATGGTCATGTGATCAAAAATTGGACGCTTGGCAACTAGTTCATATTTATGACCGTCGTAGTGTCCTGGGGTCACCTTTTGTAACCTTCTGAAGAGCAAAGTCAATGTGGAATCCAGATTCACTTAACAACTGTGTTACCAACTTAACAATTGCAATGATTCACTTAACCCCTGTGGCAAGATAAGCCTCAAAATGGGGAGAACTCCCTTAAATGTTTCACTCAGCCACATAAATTTTGGGCTCAATTGTGGCCATAACCCAATTGACTTACCTGTAATGGTTTAATGGTATAAAGCAAGGGTGGGGAATTATGGCCCTTTTAGGACAGGGGGACTTCAACTCCCAGAATTCTTGAGCCATTATATTATAGGAAGCCAGCAGGGCTGCCTCAAGAATTCTGGGAATTGAAGTCCACCAGTCATAAAAGGGCCATGGCTCCTCCTCATAACATTACACTATTATATTCCTCCCCGTAATATAATGTCTCAGGAACTCTGGGAGTTGAAATCCATCAGTTATAAAAGGGCCATTGTTCCCAATCCCTGGTATAAAAAATTAATTGAATTGAGATGAGTGGCTCTAGAAATTGAATAAACAAATGGGAAAAAACATGCCAGACAAGATTACAGTGAAGCTCAATAATGCCCAGTTTGCTCCATAGCTTACCTTGGATGGTATCAACTCTCTTAGTTGCAAAACTGACCCTATTTCCCAGGCCCAGAAGCCGTAACAAAGCTGCCTTCCATCTCTCTTCTTGCCCCATCAGCTGCTGCTTCAGCCTAAAAAGCAATTGGTTTGAGTTTCAAAACTTTTCAAGATGTTTGGGATCTCTAATTTGGAAAGTAGAGGGTTTGTAATATATGCCAAGGCTCTAAACCAGTATTATCTGTGATTAAAATCAATTAACTTTCCCAAAACAGAGTGTCTAATTACCTGGGAATGTCTTGTAAAGAACAATCTAATTACTGATTTCCTAACCAGTTGTCCTTCAGCAGGTAACAGATGTGGATGTAGGCCAATGAATTCTTTTTACACTTTCATTTTATTCTAATGTTGCAAATTTTCCCTAGGATATATTCAGTGATTGAATTATTACAGGGTGCAGGAGACGTCACACCAATGGTGACAATCATCCAAATGAGGAATTTGGGTCTTTCAAGACTTTAGGTTTTTACAACCTCCTAAAACTAAATGTAAATTTCCAGCTTAGGTGGCAATAAACAGAGCATCCTATAGAGCAGTGATGGTGAACCCATTTCAGCACCAAGTGTCCATCTGGGCTGTAAACAGGAAGAGGAGCTGCCCAGGGAGAATGCGCATACCAGAAAATGAACTTCCACTTTCCGGCAGTCTTCCGGTTATTTCTATGCATGTCCATGCGCCAATCAGCTGGCTGGCGCAAATGCTCATGCCAGAAAACGGAAGACCAACTCTCCTGGTTTCTGGCACTGCCACATGTACAAAGGCCAGCTGATTGTTGCGTGTGCACGCCCATCTGAAACCCAAAAGAGGAACGGGTGTCGCCGCACATGCCAAGCAACATGGCTCCATGTGCTACTTCGGGCACACAAACGATTGGTTCGGCATCACGATTATAGATACTGGATCAATTCTGTCAGTACCTCAAAAAGGATATTGCAGAGCTGGAAAAGATGTAAAAAGAGCAAGCAAAAATAGTTGCTAGGATAGTCCTCACTTACAACCATTCTTTTGGTGACTGTTAGAAGTTACAACCGCTCTGAACAAAGTGACTTATGACTAGTTCTGACATGGCCATTGCAGGATCCCCATCGTGCATGTATTTATGACAGTTGCAGTGTCTCAGGGTCATGTGTTCCCCTTTTTTGACCTTCTGACAAGCAAAGTCAATGCAGAAGCCAGATTCACTTAACAACCATGTTATTTAACAGATTAATAGAATTGGAAGGGACCTTGTAGGTCATCTAGTCCAACCCCCACCCAAGCAGAACCTACACTATTTCTGACAGATGGCAGTACAGTCTTTTCTTGAAAGCTTCCAGCGATAAAGCTCCCACAATTCTGAAGGCAACTTCTGATCCATTGGTTAATTGTTCTCACTGTCAGAAAATTTCTTATTTCCAGGTTGAATCTCTTCTGGTTCAGTTTCTATCCATTATTCCTTGACTGGCCTTCAGGTGCTTTGGAAAATAGCTTGACCTCCTCCTCTCTGGGGCAGCTCCTCAGATATTGGAACATTGCAGCGATTCACTTAACAGTTGTGCCAAACAAGATCATAAAATGTGGCAATACTCATTTAGCAACTGTCTTGTTTAGCCACAGTTTTGGACTCAATTACGGTTGTAAGTCAAGGACTATCGTACTCCAATGAAAAAATACAATGATTAGTTTTTTTAAAGTGGATACGTGACTGAAGACATAAAATCATTCAAGATACAGAAAATGTAAGTTAGGAACACTCCCCTCTCGCAATTCTAGGTTTTTAAATAATCAACTGAAACTAAATGCAGAGACAGTCAGGATCACTCTAGATCAGAAGCAATTCTTTTCGCAACAAATAGTTAAATTGTGGAGTGTACTGCTGTCAACGTAGTTTATTTTACTAACATGGATTATTTTTAAAAGACTGGACAAATTCATGAACGATTATACAACTGATACCATCTCCATACTTTAAATACCATTTGTATGATGCAACAAGAGGAAAGGGCTAGGCCTTCCAGTCTGTGGCGTGCTTGTAAATATTCCAGATATACTTGGCTGGTCAATATTGACACAGAAAACTAGAGTAGATGAGTCAGCTCTGTGATCCTAGATAGCTTTTCTTATAATTAAGAGGGGAGAGAACCAAAAAACAAAGGGACTAAAAATCATAGTGGCACAAAGCAATATGTTGATTTAAAGGCAGAAATATTTTTGTTAGGTATATTACCAGAAAAATATGACAAAGGGAATATATATTTAATACTACATGTCTTGATAGCAGCGAGAATTGTATTTGCACAGCATTGGAAAAATGAGGAAACTCCTACAGATGAAAAAGTAATTTAAAAAATACTAGATTGTGCAGAAATAGGTTAACATTAAAGATAAAAGATAAAGAAGATACAGAATATTTCTCAAAATGGGATTTCAATGATTAGATAATAGAGGTAGAAATTAGAAATTGAAAGATTATTACTATGTATAAGTAAATATTATTATCATCACTATTATTATGTATAAGTAAAGTGACCCAGGCAATACACTGTTTACTAAGCACTTATATATATTAAAGAAAAATAAATGTATGTATGTATGTATGTATGTATGTATGTATGTATGTATGTATATTTATCACAGTGGATTCTGCACTGTTTGTTGTTGTCCAACAAAATGTCTCACAAATGAAAGAGGCGCCACTGAAGACAACTAATCTGTGATTAGATGTATATTGTGCCTTTCCTCTAGGATCTCAAGTGACTTATGCGAGGTCTCCTTTTTGTTATTTGCAATAACAAAAACATCAGGATAAAAGTGAGACTGTGTGTGCAAGGCACTCTACAGCAGAGACAAATGTAGCTGAGAAAGCCAGCAAAACATTACAGCTAGTCCTTGGCTTAAAACTACAATCGAGGCCAAAATTCATGTTGCTGAGTGAGACCGATATTTAAGTGGATTTTGCCCCATTTTATGACTTTTCTTGTCACCATTGTTAAATGAATCATTGCAGCAGTTACATTGGTGACAGGTTATTAAGTGAATTTGGCTCCTCCGATTACTTTGTGGCAAATGGTGATCCCATGAACCCTGGGACACTGCAATGGTCATAAATACAAGTCCATGGCCAAGCATCTGAATTTTGATCACGTGACTATGGGGATGCTGCAATGGTCTTCAATGGGAAAACGGTCGTAAGTCACCTTTTCCAGTGCCGTTGTAACGTTGAAGCACTTTCCACTCTATGCATTTATATGGTTTCACTCCTGTGTGAACCCTTTTATGATCAATAAGATATCTTTTCCGAGGGAAACCCTTTCCACACTCCAGGCATTTATATGGTCCCTCCCCTGTGTGAATTCTTTTATGAGAATTAAGTTCCCCTAAATGAACCGTTGTAAGTCGAGGACTACCTATACAAACTGACTCAGTGTTTGATGAAAAAGCCCAGAATCCATTCTTCCCCATTACCTGCTGACAAAGTCAGCCAATTCCCGAAGGGCTTTTTCACCAGCCTCTGCCTTCTGTTGAAAACCATGCATTTGTTCGTTGGAGCGCATCATCTCTGCTTGCAGAGTCTGTAAGAAAAGGAAGGTTCTTTGTTGAATAGGCCGGAAAATTAATTCTTGTGGTCTCTTCAGAATATATAAGGTAGAAACTCTTAATGCTATTGCGGAGCCCTATTTTGGGGTTAAATAACTATCTTTCCCATTCTAAGTTTTATGTGTTTCTGGGTGTGCCAGTGGAAACAGCTGCCTGATCACCTCAAGGTTGACTCAGCCTTCCAAGGCCAGTATAAAACCAGGACCCGGATTGTTGGAGGCAATACGCTGACTCTATACACTGCTTAGCGGGGACTGTAAAGCATTGTGAAGCGGTCTATAGTCTAAACGCAAATGCTAGATCAAGGACCGAGGTGGCGCAGTGGTTAAATGCAGCACTGCAGGCTACTTCAGCTGACTCAGTTCTGCAGTCCAGTTGTTCAAATCTCACCGGCTCAGGGTTGACTCAGCCTTCCATCCTTCCGAGGTGGGTAAAATGAGGACCCGGATTGTTGTTGGAGGCAATATGCTG